GAATGATTACAGGAGGAGGAGACCATCGGATACAAGGAGTTAAATCTGCAGCAGTGGGGCTTATTAATGCTTCTAGGGCTCTTTGCACTCAGCAGCAATAGCAGAACCAGCAGCAGCAGTGGATGTGGTGCGAGCATCTGGGGGACAGGAAGGCCAAGTATGGCGATCAAAGAGGCATGCAGAGAAATTGGCTGCTGCTGGCGCTGCTGCAGGGAAAGAGAGTGGACCGGTGGAGGAAGGTGGGAAGAGGTGAACAAGATTGATGCTCGGGATGAGAGCATATCAGATGTTGGCAGCTTCTGGATAAGTCAGAGCATGCACAGTGCTGATGATCAAACCCGTATGGTGGCGGGGACATCATTGCAGACTGATAATCTATCTGCATTCAGGCCTGGCTATCACGACCTAATGAACAGCTATCGGACCTTCTAGGCCTCCCAGACTTACTGGAATGTCCCTGCGGGATCCCTAGCAGATTCTACTTACACCCCTGCCCGACGTGCTAACCTCTGTGTGTCGTCTACTGCTTTCCCCCCTAACCCTGGCCCTTCCTCTATTTCAACCATATCGATGTCTAAGCGCAGACACACCACATGGCCCCCAGACACATCAACTCGGACTTGGACCCGAAACTTCAGCAGGAAAGCACAGAGGATACGTACATCATCGGCAGGTCACGCACACTCAGGGACACACTGAACAAAACTCAGATTCAGAATTCTCAGCAATCGGAAACGGCATTTTCTTCTCAGAAGAGTGCAGAGTTCTCAGACAGCAATTGTGCAGGTCATTCCAAACAAGTAAAATTTATAATAGTTTATTATCGTTTATAGCTTTTATCTGTAGGATTTGTTTAGAATTTGGAGGTGACCCTCACCCAAAAGTTGTCTGTACTTGTGATCTCTACAACATTTTCTTCCCTCAGATGTTTTTGAATTGCTTTGTTTTTAGGGTTACCCAACTTACCCTCCTACGTTCTTATTTGCATTGGCGGGATGTGTGGACTGTACGTCCGGTCCAGACATTCCAGACAAGCTGGGTGGGGCCTGAACATCCGGACTGGCTGCCCAGAGACGTATAAAAAATCAAAACGAAGTACTTGACTTTCTTTCATTTTTTAATGTGTTTTCTTAACTTTTCTGCATTTTTGTG